TTTAAATTTAAAAACGGATATATAAACTTTTATCTTTAAAATCTTATTGATGATTTTGAGTTGAACAATTATTAAAAATATATTTTTAAAGAAAATTACAATTATAATTTGTATGATGTGATATTTAAAGAATAGATGGTACTTATTTGAAATAGATAATAATAATTATAGATAATAATAATAATAGATACACTGGCTGTTGACGATTTTGAATTGAACAATTATTAAAAATATATGTTTAAAGAAAATAATAAGAATTTGTATGATGTGACATTTAAAGAATAGATAATACGTATTCGAAATATATCATAATAATAGATAATAATAATAATAGATAACAATATTAAAAAAATAATAAAAATAATAATAATAATAATAATAATAATAATAATAATAGATATAGTGATAATTTTGTGTTGAACAATTATTAAAAACATATATTTAAAGAAAATAATAATTGGTATGATGTGAAATTGAAAGATTAGATAATTCTTATGTGAAATAGATAATAATAATTTAAAACTTAATTGCAAAATGTAACAATGAGATTTTCGGAAGAGTTAAAATACAATAAGGAGGATTATTTGCATTTAATAATTTAAAATACTTATATACAATTTATATTTATGCAAAGCAGAAATTTAAAATTGCTAATAAATTTAACTATAATAGAAAAGGTTGTACAATTTTCATATTAGGATTGTCTTAAGCAAACAAGGCTTCAGTATGTAAGATATAAAATAATATTAAAAAAGACTATATAAAGTTATGAATTGAGGAAATTATATCGATTATAAGGTGGCCCATTTTAAGCTGTACAATTTTTTATAAGATATTTATGTATCTTAAGGTTTTTCTTATCTTAATTTAAAAAACAATTTGCTGCCGTTTGCAGTAACGTATGACGTCATTACTATTTAAAGCAAGAATTTATCACTTCAAAAATTTTTTTAAGATTCAACAACAAATAATTTATAAATATAAATTTTACGAATAAATATTTATAAGTTATACAATATTTATATATAAATTTTAAGGCAGTACAGGAGAATTGTAGAATTTAATGCAAATTAATTCTAATTTAATATAAATAACAAAATTAATTGGTAATTAGAATTAAAGCTTTTTTTTTAACAAATTTATTTAAAATAAAGTTAAATTCATTTAAAATAATATTACTAAAATAATTTTTTTTTAAATTAGTTGACTTGACTTAATTAAATATTATTCTAACTCAATGACGATCAAATCATTTTCGCGTTGATTAGTAATAAAAGTTTTTTTCACGGTTAGTGGTTTATATTTGCATTATCTGATTTAACAATTCTTAATTCTATACTTTTCGTATCAATCTTAGCGTAGGCATCGAACTACATTTTTACGTTTTATTTATTAAAGCATTTAAAAAGACACTGGTTTTTTTTTTTAATTTTTAAAAGGTACAAATTATTTTTTTTCGTATTTTGGCTGAATGCTAAATGAAACTCACAATAGAACTTTCGAGACAATTATCAATTCCAACTCAAATTATTAAATATTAAATATTTTTGAAAGTATTTATAAAATGAAGAAAAAATTTTTATTACAAACACTATTTGAAAAGATTCTCTATATTCAGCATTTAAATATTAGGTACAATATGTCAGGTGTACGAGAATATCAGGTGTTGATATGTTTTTATATATTTATTTTTCATGTGCATGATTTTTACTTATCATTAAAAAATTTAAATAATTAATTTCACAATCACTTCGAATTGTTTCTACAGCAACATCAAACTGAATTAAAACCTTTTAAATTTTGTAAATCGAATTAATGTTCAATTATTTATTTTATACGACACTTTAATGGGCCAATCTTCGAATTAAATGGCCTATTTCAATTATAGAACTTGCAAATGAGTTTTAAGGGAATAATACGCAATTCTATTATAGAGTGAATGGATGCGGCAGTAGATGGAAGAAAAGATTTATTCCTGCCATGCATAGATTTTCATTTTTATAATAATTCAAACAAATCTATTTCCAATATCCTGAAGATAGTTATGTTTGCAATATACTTTAATTTTCATCACTATAATATAAATAAATATTAATATTTATTTTAACTTAAACCTAAACAAAATGCTTAATTTTATTTATGTTTGAAGACGTTGATGCAAAAACGTTTTATAGTACACGCCCACAAAAAATAAAAAAAATGACTTTTATTATTTATCTTTGAAGACATCTGTGTTATACTGTAGGTGCTATCGATTAAAAATCATTTTGTTTTACTTTTCGAAATGTTCTCACTTCTAAAGGTTATTTCTTTCAATATAAAGTAAAAACATCAAAATTAATTTTAATTAATATTTTTATTTAAATATTTTTAGAACCACAAGTTTTATGATCCGAAATTTCAATGCATGAACAAATTAGGGTTTAATTTCTAGTCGTTCTAATTTCTAAGTGTTCTAATTTCTGAGAATCTATAAGTTATATACTTGGTACCTTTTACCTTTAGCGTATTAAAATCTGTTAAACTCACCTTTATGTTACAGATACTTTTGAATGGAGCATTTTATATATGCTGAGATAAAGTTATGTCGTTGTTGTCATGACTAAGTGAATTTCAAATAAAACCAAGGTAAGATGTGACACTACACATATTAGTATAGAAGAGGCGTTCAAAAACCTTTCTGACTGGACGTTTGAAATTCGCAAAAATGAATATAGTATCCAAACTACAACTATCTTCTCATAAATACTTTTAAAATCCATCTAAATTTTAGATACTTCTTTTATTTTTTTGAATTTGTTTTTGACAGTAGCTTATAACTATGCATTTACTTTGATGAATTTCGAAAAGAATATATGTAAACGCACATATTTTTGCAAATTCTATTAATAGAACATCTTTATTGAATTTTGAAAGAAATAATTAAACCTGCTACCACATTCATAGCATACTCTCTTTAAATCAGGGATTTGGTTCTGCAAATATATTGCCTCATTTACTTTTTCTCTTTGATTTCGGTTTGCATCTTGTGTGAGAGGTTAGCTCTCATAATAGAAGAAATGGCAAATAAAACGTAAATAACGACATTATTAGTGGGCTTCTATATTGGCTAGACTTTGGCAAAATTTTTATATTCGATTAAAAGTACGTATTATTTTAGAATTTGTTTCTGTTAACAAAAATGTTTATGTGTTATTATAAAAGAGATAGTGACATCAAAAATCTAGCCAAAAGTTAAGCCAGTGTAAACGCTGGGTAAGGTTAACAAAATGACGGTGTTTCCATCTTTCAATTCCTATCACTGAGTTTGTTTCGTATATGTATCCAACAAAACTCGTCATGGTTTAATACTATTTTATTGGTCAAAAATTTTGAAAGACACTTATATATGTGTTCTTGAATTTTGGATAATAAATTCTATGACATTAAGGATATGTACGAGTTAGGCTAAGTTGATGCTGAACTAAATGAGAGATTTTTTGCACTGCACACATTTAGCCATTTATCGACACATCACTACATTTTCGGTACATCTTAGAATTTCCCTCATTTAGAACCCAACTTAGCCTAACTCGCACACGTCCTAATAAGCTAAATTTAGAAACACATATGAATTTATATAAAAGTATTTTTTAATTTTATATGGTTTCATAAGTTCCTTTATTTGTCACTGTGTATTTTCGTAATACCCACCACTGAAGTCGGGGAGCTCAGTGAACAGTTTTTAGCCTCACGTCTGTAATCTATATGTTTTGCTTTAATATAATAATTTTTTTCTGAATGTTCTGTGAACGTTTTTGCAGGTTCATCTATATCTGATAAAAAGAAACCATAAGTATTCTATTGTTGTGGCTGATCGATTTTGAAAACAATTTCTTGAAGTAATAATGTCTGATGGGTAATGTTATGTACTTGTGTATTTATGTAAATATATCTTTTAAAATTGCAGGTATTCTTAGCTATCTAAATAAATGTTGCTTATTATATATAATCTGCTGCTTATCAAAAGTAACTACTGTTTTTATAAGTTTTCTCTATTAATATTGTATATTAGAAACTATTTTTTTAAAAAAATTTGATTCAATTCAATATTGCTGTTTTACAACTTTAATATTTAATAATGTTCATTTAGAATTTGTTTCAGTCAGAATTTTGTAGTTTAAAATAAGATTTGCTTTTTATCTTTTAAGTTTTGACAATTTTTCTCATTTTTTAAATAAAATTTTTACCTTAATGGACACATAAAACGATATAATATGAGATGCTTTACGAATATCAAAAAAATCTTAATATTAATTTTATTTTTCAATTTATAACAAAACAAGTACATATATATAATTATGCATTTTACAATTCTTAGAAAATATAGGTTTTCTGTCTTTGATTCTTTTGTTTGTTTAGGTTTCTTAATTTACTTATTTATCAAAGCAAAAAAGCTAAAAATATTTTTTTATTTTAAATTTTTGGGCTGGGCTTGGTACGTATAGCATTTAAAAAATGTCCATTGAAGTGGATTTCACATCACTTACAATTTGCTAAATATTTTAATGTATATTTATTTATTTGTTTTTTTTAATATAATTAATTTATCTTTAAAGGCAGTCAAAATATTAATTATTAATGAAATAAATATCAAATATTTTATTTTTTATAAATATTTTGTAAACTTATAATTAACAAATTTCTTAATTATCGGTTATCATTTTTGTTTTGTATTCTTTATTTGGTTTATATAAGTTTATCACTTCTTTGTGTTTCCCTTTGTTTCTGTTAAATATGTAATGAATTTAAAATAAGTAAAAAATTAACAAATTTCTTAAAATGTCCTAAATAGAATTTAACAAGTAACTTTATTTGAGCGTAACCAAAAAAATACATCTTATATATTAAATTTATTTAAATAATTTAATTTATTATTTTTATTATATAAAAAATAATTTCCTGAAATGTTGTGGTTGTTTCTTTTAATTTTATTGTTGATGTGTTAAATGTGATTATAATTGTGTGTGTATGTGTTGCTGTATTTAATTTTAAATTTTTACTTGTGTTGTGTTGTATCTAAATTGTTTCAATATATCTAATTGCATGGTTTTCAGCAAGAGTTTTATGAAAATCCTTTGTAGTGCACAAAGAAGAAAATCAGGAAAATCGCGTAAGCAGTTGGAAATGTAATTCTTGCGATGACATCGATCGTTTTCGCTACTCGAATTGGGTGAGGCGGTTCCTTTTTGCGCACTTGTACGAAGCAAGTCTGTAAAAGAGATATTATTAGTGTCTGTTTGTTACTCATTAATAAGTAATCTTATATATAGTTAAAATTAATTACTTTATACTTCAATTTATCATCATTAATTTAAACATAAACTACATTAAACAGTGTAGTCAAGACTCAAGACTTACTATATTCAGCAAGAAGTAGATTAAGATCATTTTACCATAATGTTTTTTAATGTATTAATTTCTTATTTAAGTAGAATTGAATCTTAACTATTAACGTAACAGGAAAGGGCAAGGGGAAAGGAGAAAATAATTCTCCACATAAATCAAAAATATGAAAACATGCCACCGAAATAATCAATAAAATTTTTCTCAGTTATCAAGATTTTATCATTTAAAAATTTAATTTTACTAAAAAAAAAGAAAAACAGACATTATTTTATCGACCTCCGATACTTTATTAAATATTGCTTGGAATATACTTTTAAAAGGGTATATGGCGTGCTCCATATATTCCACGGGCTACATTCATAATATAATATTCACAGGTTTATATTGGTTACGAATAGATATTATTAAATTTATGAAATCTTTCAGAAAGTACTATAACATTTTATTAGTATTTCAACGGGTCACGTCGCAAAATACTAATAAGGTATAGAAATAGAAAATGAGAACGAAATATTGACATGATTTCTTGTATTTGATAACAGAAAGCAAACAACGCTTAGATCTTCAAATTTCTCAGTCATGATTGGTTGCTTAGAAAACTCTTCTCTACCTTATAACTTAGATCAAAGTGTAGTAGATTTCAACTCGCTGATAAATAATAATAAGAACATTAATAATAATCACATAATATATCGAAATTGACGGTATTACGAGTATAGCAGTTCTGGATGACAGTAATGATGATTTAATCATCTAAAGCATTGATTATAAATTTTATAGAGTAAAAATGTTCTACCAAAATTTATATTAAAGGATATATGTCGTCCTGGTAATAAAATGACCAAAGAACTGAAAATATCACAGCGAAACATCCGACGTATATTCCAAAAGGGTGGTTGAATTAAAGGTAAAGCCTTGAAATTCCAAAAGATACAAGATCTTACACCAAAGCAACAAAAAGTTCAACTCGAAAGAGCAATGGAGTTGTTATGCTTGCATGAACTTGACTAATTTCCAAACATTGTGTCCTCTGCTGAGAAAAATTGTGCTATTGAGCAGTTCATAAACTCTTGTAAACTTTGATCGTGTTTACTTAACTGAACGGACTGCCGAAAATTTGAAACTATGAATGGCGACCCGAAGTGATTTTTCATCTGAAGTAATGGTATGGACAGCTGTGACCGCCGATATCCGCCCTCCAATCGCTTTCATTGAGTTTGGTATCAAAGTCAATGTGACTTATTACCGGGAAAATGTTTTGTAAGTTGCTTTAGAACCGTGGGCACGTTAGCATGGTCTTTGGTCTACGAGATGGATCATTCTAACAAGACTCGGTACTGTTTCATAAAGCTCGTGCTAACCAAGAATGGATAAACAATCATGTTCAACACTTCATTTCGTCCCCACAATGCCTTTCGAATTCGATAGATGTAAAACCGTTGTAGTATTCCATATGGGCCATTTTGGTGAGAAAACTGAACACTAAAAAATGTGCAAGTATGGTTGCTATTGTTTCGTTGTTCAGCAATGGGTCAAAATACCGGAAGATCACATTCGCGAAGCATGCAACTAATTTTTACCATTTAAAGGCCATAGTAAAGGTAAAGGTGGCTACATCGAGCTAGAGTGAATGGGTTCCAAATTATTATTTTAATTTTTTCAATCAATAAAAAATAATTTCACACAAAAAATATATGGTCCCTTGAATAGGTAACACTTTAATCGCTTAACTTTGAATATATCTAATATGATATATAGTTTATGTAAATATGTATTGTATTAAATTTTTAAAAATTAAATATAAAAGAGATCATGAAATGATATTAACTTCTTGATATAATATTCTTAGACATCGGTTTTATATAGATAATAAATCATTTGATATTTACCTCTGTAGCGCAGCCGTTGTTTGCGGAGTGGGTACAGGGACTGCTACTGCCACCGCAAGTTGTACAAGCCACGATTTCATTAGGACCGCTGGTGTCTCGCTTTTTCTCACCCTGATAAACGGCGGTAAATTTAAAAAACTTTTTTATTACAATTTGAGTTTTCATGCGTTACAACAACAAAATTACAAATTATACGACAAATAGATAAAATCAGACGAAAATAACGAATTAACGAAGAACAAACGAACAAACGTGGTAACATTAACAAAAATTGCATTTGGCATTTGGCATTTTTTTCATAAAATTTTATTCACAATTTGGTGGAATTTTTCGTAATAGTCATATACACAAAATACACAGCAAAAAGCGTTAAAAATGGAAAAAATACAAAATAGATAAAATTAATTAATAATTATTTAGTACATTAAAATTACAATTTTACAGTTTTTATCAAATAAAAGCAATAGTTTATTTATGCAAAATTATTTTGAAATTCAAATTTAAGAAGAAATTCATTTTTACTTACCGGCTAAAATTTTTCGAATTCGTGAGCAGTGTGAAATGAATAATAGAAATGATATATTTAATTTTTTATATATATTAAGGACCTTCAGTTATTCTTTTATTTTTGTCATAACGAATTTTTTCATATATTTTGTATTGATACTTTATGCGCTTTCGTTAGTAAATTTTAGCATGAATATTTTGCAGATTTCGGTATTATAAGCTGAATGTGACATATCTGATAATGAATAATCAATTCTTCAAAACAGCAGTGATTATTAACACAAAAATATTACTAATTTATAGTTTTTTAGTTTTTCAGATTCAGAAAATAGTATAAGTATATTACTTAGTGTTAAAACCATACAAACTATTTGAGATTGACCATAGAAAGTAAATATGTGATACCCATATTTGTGTTACTTATCCTTGCTAGTCTACCAAAATAATATACGATAAAAATGAAGCTAAGATATATGTTTAAAACTGTGTCGTAAATTCCTTATTTTTATCATATAAGGTAAGGTTAGATTTGAGCGACGGCTATCTGCACTAATACGAACTTGAACACAAATAATGATCTATTGTGATATGACTGTGATATCAGATACCATAAGTACGCAAGAACTTAGGAACCACCTTAATCAACTTAAAGGTATAAACCCTTAACATATAGTATACGAACAAATTCCTTTTTTGTAATATTAAGCAGTTAAGAAAAAATTGGAAATACAGTTCGTGTAAAAGAATGACCCATATATACTCTAAATGTTTTAAATTATATGCCTCAATGTTAAATTATTTTTAATTTTTAATAAAAGCTCAAAAAAAAACTATGAGAGTAAATATTAACAGAATGTATTATGTTATTCATCAAGATTGTTAGGTGGAGAAGAGAACCGCTGTTGTCTAATTAATGAGAATTTTACCTATCTTAAATATGTTTTTGATTTAAATAAAAGTAATCTATATTCCTAAATATTGAAAAATGACTACGGTAAGGAACTAGTTTATATAAGAAAATCATTGGAATATAAAATATTTACATATTGCAACTACCGTAGTGTTGAGTGGGTTATGCCTGATTAGTACTTTTTTGTCCAGTATGGACTAGGTCAATCTTGAGATCTGACAGCAGGGTTCATTTGCCCAATTTTGATCACCTATACTCTGACATTTTTGTTTGTATTTTATTTAATAATATTTTCTGAATCAGTTATTTTTAAAAAAATGCAATAAATAATATACAAATAATTACAATAGCATATACGTTGAACTAAATTACAGTTGTAAAGAATTGATTTCAATGATTAATAAATATTCTAAATATTTTTAAATAGTAGAAAATACAAAGTTTTGAAGTATTTTAAATTAAAGTAAATTAAACGATACTAAAGGACTACAGAAACAAATTAAATTTTTTAATAGTAATACGATAGCAATGCGATTTACTACAACGAATGCTATAAAATTTAACAAATTAAAGTGCTTTTACTATTCCTTTAAACTAAAGTAACTAAAGTATAGAGTAACATTTTGCACCATTCGTAATTCATAAATACATATTTACACAGTAATAAAAAAATACATTCGTGCATAAATTAGACATACTTCACAAAAAAAATCTTACATATTTTATTTACGAGCGGTTGGTTCTGATATTTCTGCTCTTGAATATGTTTACAGCTTTATGTGTATGAGTTCAGAACACTTTTGATGGATTTATGTGAGTATTTATGAATAAATATGAGTAAATATGAGTAAATACGAATGCGAATGAATTACACTAAATGCGCATTTGTATGCATTTGCGAAAATGTTTATCTGTGTGGTAGAAAACAAATTACACGTTTATTTTTTATAGGTTAAGGAGGATAATGGTCATGAAAGGGTTAATTTATTTATATCAAATCTCTCAGATTACTAAAAGTTTTAAAATACTCGTTGTAATTCTAAATGTTAAACATATACATAATTTACTTATGTGTAGTGATTATTAGAGTTAAACAAATTATTAACAAAGATGCAGATGAACAACAGTTTGCAATAGGCCACTTAGTATATAGGTCCCATAACTAATTTTGAACCAGTTTATAAACCATAAATAAAGTAAATATAAATTATATCACTTCTTTGGGAATAGTATCAAAAATTATGAATCTATGATATCTTCTTTAGCTTAGTGCCGTTTCTCCTAATTGGAAATCAATGATATAGTACAACAATAATATTTTATTTTGATGTATTTAGTAGTAGTAAGCGGACTTTTTAGTAAACGGAGTTTTTTCTTTTATAACAAATACAAAATAATAAAAAAAAACATAGAATGCAAGAAAAAATATCGACTCGTATTTTTACATATTAAAAAATATTGATCAAATATTCTAGATCCAAATGAATATTCATAGTCCTGCCATAAATTGCTTTATATTTGCTTTAACAATTATTGCAGTTCGCTAGCTCGTCCTTAGCCTCTGTTTTAATAGCTGAGCCATGTTGCCTTTTTTACATGCCAATTTCGCAACTTAATGGATTATGAGCGCATGAAATGCTCCACTGTTTTATATTTCAATTTTCATTTTGTTAGGATGCCACTGGGTTTAAATTGAATTTAACTGTTGTATCTTTGCGGTTTAACTCTACTTCCAGTATATAATAATGTTACATGCTTTATTGGGAGCAAAACACGAAGTATGCTTTTTATATCTTCAACATAAAGAATTCATCCGCTTCGAGCTCCAATTCCACCGAGATTTCAACACTGAACAGAGCAATTAAACATATGCGGTTTGAGTGTCTGTGCGGGGAAGATTGGCTAATAAAAACATGTTAGCATGGATGAAAGAACGAAGTATGTATGAAAAATGCGGTACTCGTTTTAATAAGTATGAAGATAAAGTGTCTGTTTGTAAGCTAATAACAGTGATATAATAAAATATTATGTGGTTGTGTTGTTAGAAGGATTAAGGATTTTCTGTATGACTTTTTCTAATTTCTATAATTAAAGCTAATAAAATTCTTGTATGTTGTTTGTATAAAAAATGTCTGAAATTTGAGATTTATTAAAATTAAAAGGAAATTTTTATAAAAGTAAAATATATTCACTTGATGGAGCATACTCCGTTTTTTATTAACTATTTGAAGCAAAACAAATAAGATTCTAAATGATTTTACAATGATGATGGTGGCCTTCAGTACCAGTTGAGTTGGTTAAGTTCATTTTATGCAGCGTAATAAAATTTAATGCAATGGATCAGAGTAACTAACCTAGAATTGTAATTTATCACAGTCAAAAGTGGTCAGTGCAAGAAAATACTCTTCGAGCAATGTACAACTTATTTCACCTCCCACTGCTTTCACTCTTGGTTGCATTGGCAACCATTATGCACTCTTGGCATTGCACAATCTGCACTGTGAAAAGAAAGTTAAAAATGGAATCCATGCTAAAGTCCACAGATTGGGTGCACAAATACAGTGGCAAAATTCGCATTTTCCCTGAGCTACTTGTATTGCAGGATATCGCAAATGAAAGGACACCAATCACGCTCGTTCTCATACATCACTTTGTAACGAGGTTCCGAAAGCTGCGTTTCCACTTTCATGCATTGGTTATGTGCCGGTTAGATTATGTGATTTAAGCTTCTGAAACTTCAGTCGAACTGTCCCTCTTTCTTAAGTGCGCTTATATTCGTAGCGATGTATACAAAAGTATATATATATTGTGATTGCTGCGAGTAAATACTGATTCATTTACCTTTACTTTTTGTTCATTCTAAAATATTTGCTGCGGATAAAGTGAGTTTTCCTTTTAATATTTACTCTTAAGCAATTTCGCAAATATCGGGAATTGGGTTTAGAGTATATAAAAAATTTTTAATTAAAATGTTTTCTGCTAAACAAATTTAAGTTTAATCCTTTCTGCTTCCTAATTAAGTAAAAACTCAAACTTAATACAGAAAAAATATTTAAAAATTATATAAGAAAAATTAAATTGATGCTTTAAAAATGATTGTTTTTTGTTTTAATTAAGAGTTGCAAATTATGTCGCAGCACATAATCAATAAGAGAAAATTGGTAATATACAGGGTGTGTGTCAACAAAGTGGCTTTATTTATTTGTAATAAAGTGGCAGAGTTTTCGTACTATCATGCATTGTCTTCCAGTAATTGTCCTTCGAAACAAGCAACACTCATTTTATTTTTTGGTAAATGAATTACCATATTCAGTTTAATTCAACCATATTTCAGATATTAAGAATATTTGAAAGCAAAATAGACTTTTCTTGAATAGACTTTTCTTTGACACCCCGTATCTCTTTGAAAATGTAACACCTGTTTTTGAAATGGCTTGGACCAAGGTATCACCTCCCATATCTATACGACTTTGTAAGAAAACACCTTGTGTAATTGTAAGACGTAACATCTACTTTACGAGCCATATTATTGACTTCAAGATATTTTTTGGATCCGTGCACTTTAAACATTTTCTATATTAGCAATTCTCAACAAAAAGATGCTCTGTGCTTTCTATATATGTATATACGTAATATATATGTATATATGGTAAATATTCATATTATATTGTTCATATTTAATTGATATGAGTTCTTTAATTAATATAAGTTTTTAATTATATAAAAGTCACTGTTGAAGAAATAAAAACCTAAGGAAGCAAAAATATTCGTATTAGATTTTGAAGAGCAATAAATTAAATTCTAACATAATAACAGAATTCTAAGGATTAGTCATTCATATGATTAATCATGTAAAGTGTGTATTTTAGATAGTTTTGGTTCTTAATTTTTGTTTTAATTAAAGGTCACAGTTATATATTTTTGATTATGTTAGCACTTGATAAAAATACTTTAGTAGAATATAAATATCTTTTGAAAATCAAAATAATATATATTTCCAACTAGTAGCTAATTACTGAAAGCGAAGTAAAATTCTGTTATAACTTAACATAAGCACATTGACAGAGCTGTTAACTGTTATCTTTTACATTAAATGCAATTTGCAATTTGTAGCTATGTTAGTTGTACGAGTAATAAAATATATATTTGTTATTACTGATATCGATTAGACATTTCAAATGAAAAGCAATGAAGTTGGTTTTTGTGGTTTCACATAATATTGTGGCAACTGTGAGACTAAGAGAGGATAGAAAATCAGGATTACGATTTACACATTAATTTGGTTAAATAATGTTATTGCATAACATTAAATTAAATATAATTAATTAATTCAATTATTCTACAGCTGGTTTATGATTTCGTTCTAATATAACACAGCACGTGGATGTGTTAATAAAAAATTTCACAGCAAATTAATAACTCCAGAAAAATGTGCGAATATAAAAGTTAAGTACGGCTTTGGGTCAGTTGGCAAATGAACGCTGACTCTAAGCTTTAAATTTGGCATGGCACGAGTTTCATTTCTGGTACTTGAATCTCAAAAAATTATTTACGAATAATTAAGTACAAGAATTACTTCCAAGACCACTGATGATATAAATTCAATTAAATAAAAATAATATAAAAAGAATATTTGTTGTAGTTCACTACTTTTCAAATTAACCTCTTTATACCATTTAAATACTAATTAATATATTATATTATCTAAACTACTATAAATGCAGATTTTAATAATGTTTAACGTGTTAAGATACGTGACAAGCCTTAGACAAACTTAGACACAAATTAAATAGTTTAAAATTCAAAACTACGGAAACTGCGGGATTTAGGATCAACTACTATTCTCTGTAATATGTCGACTTGAATTTGAAATACAGTTAATTTTAATATTTAATCTAAAATATTTTGTTCTAAAAATTAAAAAGCACTTCTCGAAACTAAATTGCGATTTTAAAAACAAAACTATTGCGTTATGTAGTCTTCAACGTAATAGATAGATTTTCTTTCTTCTATATATGTAAAGTAGTATTCATACCACTTACACACAATGGTTTTAAAAAGCATTTAGGAACAATTGCAAAGACTTGGTCATATTTACTCAAGGAAACATTTAATAATTAAAAGTTTCTTAATATTTGCCTGTCGTGTTTTTTAAACAACATAATTTGCCAATTTCCAGCAAAAACAAAATTCATCTGAGCAAAGCATTCAATTTTTCCATCATTCACTAGAAAATTGTAGATAAATCCACAATTTAAGGATAATCAACACACACACACACCCATACATACACTTTAGATATAGAATTACGTAATAATTTATTGTTGGAAATTTACAGAAGGCAGACGTAGTGAGAGGATTACTGAATGTTTCACTGTTGCTGTTGATTAGTGAAGTTTCCCTTTCACTTCCGTTTCCGTTTATGCAACTGAATGTGCTATTGTCAGAAAGTTGCTTGGATTATTTTAATAAAAACTAAATATTTTCTGCATTGTTGATGGAAACGTTTAAAATTGGTCGGAGAGCGCGCCATGAATTTCGTAGTTCGCAAATTAGTTTTTATGCTGTTGGGCGAAACTTGCAGCTCTCGCTGTTGGTGTCTGTGTATGAAGTTTAGTTCACTAGTTTTGGTATCTGTTGAACATTCATTTGTGGCAAGATGAAAACCGGAAGAAGTCACAACAAAAATAAACAATTTTCGGATTTACAGGCGTAAACAATTGGTGTTGTGAAAGTATTTTGACAACAACAACAACAAAGTTCCTCAATATATTGTTTCGTTTGGTAAATTAATTATGTGGTTAAAATGGTTTGCTAACAATAATGACACTAATAATTGCGGATTAATTTGAAACATATTGATATTAAATTTTATTACTTATAGTTTGTATCAATTTTGATTGATAATTTCTAAGTAATTATATCAATTTGCAGTTTTTTGGGCAATCACAGCAATTATATTTAGTATACGATTAAAGAAAGCAAAAATTAATTATGATATTGTTTCATTTGGATATGTCATATTCTCATATATATCTAATACAAATAAAAAATATTGTGGAATTGCTTATTTTTAAGCAATATATCTATATCTTCATAAGCGATATCTTATGACGATAAAGCTAAATAAAAACACTCAATTCATGTCGTCTTAAATGCTTTAAATAGTGCACTGTGTTTTTATTGTACAAGTTTTAAGGATATTGTTTTAATATTTCAAAGGAACTTTTTCAAACAGATTGTTGTAATTGACTTATATGTATACATATATATACATAGATAGATAGATTTTAAACAGGAACTTATCACCATATCACTGCAGCCTTTGAGGATTATTGTGACACATCCACTTTAGTTCCATAGACAAGTAACAGTTAAGAACGTCATTATGTCCTTTGAAAAGATGTTGCCTAATTCCGTAATAAGTGATAAGTACCAGCTGAATCTGGCGAGGCTATCACAATGACACAGAATGTGTTCTGCTATTTCCTCTTCTTCGCAACAAAGTCTGCAGCTATCGTCTCTTGTAATACGTAGGTTCGATAGATGCTTATTTACTCTACAATGTCCAGTGAGAAACCCTGTGATATATGCATCACAGAAATGAAATATTTTGAATTTTTTAATAATATTTTGATCAAATTCAAAAAATGTTTGATGAAACAACATTTTCACCATACATAACATAATATTAGTTAAGTTCGAAATGATAAATGAAATCCCTTTTTTAAAACACGGTTTAAGGAATTTAATGTCTTAATAATTAAATTAAAAAGTAAACTTTATAGTAAACTTATAAAAAATATGTTTTCGTAATCAGACCATATATAAGTAATTGCATAAGTCTGTCTTTTAGATTCTTCACTGATGTCCTGTGAACATTTCATTACTATTGGATTTAGTGGTAGTACTTCTGTGTTAGGTGTATAAAAATGAATATCAGACGAAGACGTAATACAATTGTTAAGTATTGTTTTATACTTGATAAAACTTTGGCCAAGAGGTGTGATATATGAAATTTATTGTGATAATTGTTTTTCCCGTAGTAAAATTTTTAAAAGACATACACGGCTTAAAAACGATCGTGAATTAATATGTTGGCCAACTGATAACTATGTTCATAGTAGATTCCATCATATATGAGTATGAGTTCATCAAAGGACCGACAAAATCTTTATTCAAACTCATGGAATTGGAATCACGCATCTTAAAAAATTAATTTATCGTAATTTTTCGTAACCCGAAAGCTTGATTGTCCGAAAAGTGTATGCGTGGTTTGTTATGTATAAGTTGATAAAGAATTGGTAATTATTAATTGTAATTGTTAATAAGGTTTCGAAAAATAGTGAACTACAACAAAAATTATTTTTTTTCTGTGGTTTTGGAACTATTTCTTATATTTAAATATTCGTAAATAATTTTGTTTTGAGACTGCAAGCACCACGGGTTGAACTCGTGCCCTGCCAAATTTGAAGCATAGAGTCAGTGTTCATAAGCCAACTGAGTCAAAGCCGTACTTGAGTTGTATGTTCGAACTTGTATGTTTTTTTTTTTTAATTTGCTGTCCATTAACAAATTCACTTGCTGTGTTATATGAGGACAAAATCATAATTGAATTATTTCATTAGAGGTATATATTTTTAAAAAATTATTTATTGCATGAGTTTATTTATTTCTTGTGCATAGTATAGTTGATTAGACAATTAAGAATTGCTCTTGATCAATGGAATTCTAAACGATTTTTGACTTAAAAGCCACTCGTTGTATTTACCTGATTTAGCACCGTCAAACTGTGTTGTTGAATGTTATGAAATTTTGACAGTATATCTGTGAACAAACTACCTTACCGAAGTATTTAATTGCCAATATGCGACCTCACTTCAAACACCTATTTTTAAAAATTCCTGTTTACTTTAGAATTCGTCTTACATATCAAACTATAGTAGTATTTATGATGTGACTTACAGTATATGAGCACAAGAAGGTACAGTTTAAAAAGTATCTTCAACATGTTTTAATTGTTAGTTAAATTCGAACAGTGAAAAAGTGGATATCATTCGTTCACATATATACGGATTAGTTTACTTTTATGCATAAAATTAAAATTATTTTTAATGAAAGAGAAATGGTAACGTAAATGAACAGAAACGTAAGAACAAAAATTAAGAGTAAGAAAATAACACAAATACAAGTAATAAAAATATAAAAAATCAAAAACTTACATCTTCAGCATCTCCGCCATTATTACCGTTTACGCCGGATGCTCCAAGACATTGTTCGATCGTATCGAATCCACGCGACGGTGAAGTTGAACGTGAGCTCTTTCTTCTAGGTGGTTTTAATGGTTGTAGCTGTTCGGCCATATCAGTGGTCGACATATTTTGCTGTTGATTCGTAGGTGTATCATGTATATCGACTCGAATATTTTCGCCACGTAGAATAAGTGGTGGTGTGTTGGTGGACATTGAGCGTGATTGACGTAGACTTGGGGGTTCAGTTAAGATCGGTTGAGATGATACATTTGAATCATCCTCAATACTAACAGATGTGACAGCTGTAACTGGTGGAACGGTAATGCTGCTCTCCGCTGGTGTATTGATAAATACAGGCTCAGTATAAACGGGATCTGTTGTTACTTGTGTATGCTGTTGCCTGTACGGTTGATCAATGCTTTCACCCAAGTCCCCGTTTTGTCTACGTCTAACTGAACGTGCACGTATATTTTGTACTGCAGAACTGAAAAACCCACTCTGTTGAGGTTGCCAGTGTACGTGCGGTGCATCCGTTGAAGGAGGTTTTGTTGAAGTTGCTTGTGCATGATGTCCATCCACACTAGAAAAGCCAGCTGCTGTCTTTTCGGACGATAAAGCAGCATGAAATTCTCGTTCGATTATTTCCTATTTTTTTGTACAGTTACTTGGTACAGGTAATATAATATTGACATGATTTTAGGGACTTTAAATTTTATTTTTTTATTGCATAAAGTTTTGGATTCCGCAATAAGTAACTGTTAATAATGGCGTGCTAATTCGTAAATATTCGCTTGGACTTATGCATTTTGAAGTACGGTTTAGGGAATTAGAGTTACTTTTGTACTAAAAGATTTGGACTGTTAAAAATGTAGTTCTTTTATGCAATAGCACACATTTGTTGTACATGCAAAATATATAATTAAAGATTGTGCATATGGCTTTTGCTCATGCATTTTTAAGAGATTGGTAGGTCAATAAGTATCTGTATCAGCACTCATGCCCATCCATATATGCAAACAGTTATTCATTCATTTCAATGCTAGAACGCAAAACGGAAATGGGGTTTGATGTCTGCTGCTGTAGCTTTTACCACAAATGTCTTTAAACCGCATTACATCCGGTCGTCATTGGTTTCCTTCTCATATTTTCATTTCATTACATTTTTATGATAAGTGTACATTGGAACTCCGTGTAGCGATTACACCCACGGGTGGTGACTTATAAACTGAGTATTGGTTTTATGGAATGTGAACTGAACAAAAAAGCTAAAATGCATGAATTTCATATGAAATGATTTAGTTTTTTGGCGATAAAAATGTGTGAAAAATATATGAAAAATGCATGAAAAATTGTGTTTGATTAAAAAGTCAATAAAATAAACCTTGAAACTGGTAAATATATGGTTTGTGTAATAAATGTAAACATAAACAACAAAACATTTGATGCAGTTTTATACAGCAAAGTTATTTAATTTTTAATTAAAATTTTATTTTTTTCTTTTGTATATTATTATATTTATTCAATTCTGTAGCAAGCAAAATAATTTATACAGTTTTTTGTGAAACAAACAACAACTCAAAGTGATTTTATTGATATTCGATATTAAAAGCGTTTTTAGTTGCGATAAAAAAGCAATCACACAATGTACACAAAGCCAATTAATAATTTTTGAATATAGTCCTATGGATTTACCATATAATAAAGTCACTAAAACTTTAAAAATGTATTAAAGTGCCTGAATTATGTTTAATACAAGAGAAACGTTAAGTTCTTGTTACAAATTTTAATTAAAAATTTATCTTATATCTATGATATTACCTTTACGCTAATATCTATGATTCTTTCCTAATTAAACAATTAATCACTTAGTCCCGAAACAAATTTGCTAAAATCTTATTAGAGTTTTAACGAAAATATTGTGTATTATTTTCAAAGCTGCATAAGCTAGTTATTTCTTCTAATATTCTGGAACATTGCAAATATTATACATACTTCAAGAGAATATTACGTTACTATGTTAAAGTTATCATTGAAATTGATTTCAAAATTAGTAATATTAGATGCTATTGAACTTCACTATATTGAGTCAGTTAATCTATATTGAGTTCATTGTTTTTTTGTATAATATAGTATTTGTTCCATACAGTAAGAATATCGTTCTGCTTTAATGTGATTACTTAAGAATTAAATTCAATTAATTATTTTAATCTCATAAGAATTACTAAACTAAGATTTAAAACTTTTGTTTTGAAGAATATGGTTATTTTATATAAAAAAAGAGCACAATCAATTGTACCAAATCTATTAAAATTGAACTACCGAATAAGTTTTCTCCAGAAAAGTCATTATAGAACCGAATAGCAATATTACGCTTTTTTAATAGATCCTGAAATTTAATATATTTAAGTCTACCGGAAAATATTGTTCTTTTTGCATAATATGTATGGTTTTATGCACTTCGCATGATGAGATAATTATTTAATAATAATTTTAGGACTTTATTTGAAAATCGAATACGTAAAATAAGAGTCTCTAAGTAAGAGGAAAAAATAAATCAAGTTTTTAAGCTATGCTCAACAAAGCTATAAAGTGGCGTGTCTCGAAAAAGTTTATCATTAATATGTTATTTTAATATTTCTTAAATATTTTATTTTTATGTATAAAATTTTGTTCATATATAATAAAATTGTCTCATCGAATACTATATATTGTAACATTTTTCCCAATTATAAGTGACCTTAAAGTGTGTTTTTGTTTTTGATATTTATTTAATTGGTAACAAATTTATATATAATGTTATATTTTGAATGCTGATAATTTTTTTTCAAATATTTTTGTATATGCAATTAAGAGTGTTTAATTTAAAATTAATTAGTCAGGCTACAAATTAATCGAAAACATCGAAAGCGTGCTTCTACATTCAATACAACGAACAGAAAATACCTATAAAATGTTAAAAAACAGAAATAATTAATTAAGCTTTTCGATCATTCAAGAACAAAAAAAGTCAAAAAAAAAACAAAATAATTAAAAATGCAAAAGCCGTTATGTATATTAATTAAATAGTGTAAGTAAAATTTAAATTTTAATTGCATAATTCTTTTTGTATAGTTTTGAACGTCCAGATTTGTTAATTTGAATATTTGCAAAACTGGTAAATTTTAAATTCGAAAGCAGCAAGAGCATTTGTGAAATGTAGGCTTTTCAAATTGGGTTTGAAATTAGTTTTAAAAATAAGGTTTTAAGGGTTGTGCATGAGTTGATAGCTTACCAAAGGACTTGCAAGAATTACTCCGATCCTGCTTAGTACTGCTGGAAGACGCTGGAAAATGTACACAAAATAATGTTCATACTAAAACACACTTTAAGTTGTTTTTTTTTAAATATTTGTGATTAAGTAAAATGAGTTTTTAACTTTTTAATTTTTACATAAAATTTGAAAAAATGTTCAAAAAATTAGTTTAATTAAATTGTCAAAATTTTTTTGTGCTCTGTAAAAAGTAATTCAAACACTTACTAAACAATATCTTAAGTTGATAAATATATTATAAGTATTTTTATTTAAATTTGTTTCTGTTTAGTTGCCAAAACGTGTATGTATATGTGGTTAATCACAAAAATTGGGAACAATGTTAGAATTATTAATAATAAATTCATAGTTTGATTATTTTTACATATATAATTTTTGATTTAATGCATTCGTTTAAAAATTCTTAAAATATATATAAAGACGAGAAGAGTTTTACTATGTAAAACAATACATACAGAGTTCGTACAATAAATCAAAACATATTTATTACAGATTCTGCTAATATTAAAACTGAAAATTAAGCAAAAATTATCAAAAGTTAATCTGAAATTATGAATAACAAAAAAAAATTTATTTACGTATTTCATTATTTCAGGTTTAATAATATATGTCCAGGCAGTAATGAAGTAATCACAAAATATAGAATGAAATCATAATTATTCTTTGTGCTGAATGGATCTAAAATTCCCATTTTAATTATACAAGTAAAATTAAATCCTTTCAGTCCGTATATGTTGGTAATTCCTAATATTTAATAGCATTAAGATTTTTAATATAAATCTTACGCTGTTATAAAAACTAAATTAAATATGATAACATTTTACGAATTAATAAATTAAATGAACTTACCGTGAAAGCAAAGGGCACAACCAACCATACTTGTGTATATGATGGGAACGATATAAACAAAATTCGCCGTTTTTGTTTACTTCGTTCCTAACAAGTACACAGGTGTGGTTGGTTGTGCATTTCGCTCTGACTTAAGTTCTTACGGTACGCACCGACTAATTGAGCTTTAACTGAATCTGTGGTAAATAAAAATTTTAAGTTATGACTAAAACTATAGTTGTCTATGATTTTTTTATATATGTTTTTAAAGAGTTCTTAATATAGTTGAATTAATATAAGCTGATTGCTTAAAGGTGTTTGTAAAAAGTAGCTCAATGATTGGGTTCGTTATGAACTTGTAAAGAGAATATGAGTAATGCTCAATATGTCACATATGTTGATGTTATATGGAATCGATCTGCATTAAAAGAGGATGAGGCTTCAGGAATAGTGGGAAATCTTTGATAGCGAATACTGTGTATTTAGAGCACGATATGATGAAGTAGAAATTGCTCCAATTGTCTGCTGCAGTATATAATTTAAATGTAGCACAATGTTAAATAAATGCGGCTGTGATGAACAGAAAAGTTATTATGACTATATCGTGACTATATAGTTCACAATTATTTTTCGTGACCAAGCCAAAATTGTATAGTTCCCACATTGTATCATTAAGCTATCATAAATTCCGATCTGTATTAAATTTAGGGAAATAATAAATTCCTGTATAAATTTTATTTTTTACCTATGAAACAGCTTAAAAATAGGACTGTAGAAAAAAGCTGTTTCAGTTTTGCAGATAAATACCACAAAATTCTATGTATAATAGCACGATTAATTATTTTTGAATATTTATTTTATAAAAATAATAGTAGTCAATTAAATCAAAAAGAATAAGTTTAAAAACCTAAAATTCTTCTACACTAGCTAAAGATTCACAAAATGTATGAAGAAAATTTAGAACTAATATTGGATTTTTGATAGTTAATATATCAAATAAACCTATTATTAAAATTTAGAACTAATATTTAATTTTTGTTAATTATTATTATTAGAATAAAGTAATTCAAATAGTTACTATAAAATATTTTTGGTTAAATAAAATTAGATTGCAATTCCATATATTTTTTAATTAAAAATGATTTCTTTAAATGTGTACGAAAAAAATATGTATATGGCATATATGGCCTGCCTATATATGTCATATTAATTAATACACGTAGTTTATTTTTTCATGATTTTATTCATTTATCCTAATGTATTTATTTATCACAGGTATGGATAATATCGGAGATAAATAAATATATATTTGCTCCCAGTAGTAGACGTCTCATCTAGATGGAATCCTTTCTCTTTATATTTGTGATATCTTTTACAGTTTTTCATTCTTGGCATATCCAGGCAGACTATGCTTATATTTTAAATATTGTTTATAATCTTAAAGTAAGATCTTTAAAAAATTTTGGATCTATTCTAGGTAAAAATAAATTTATTTTAGTGATTTCAAGATATAAAGTAACGCCTTAAAATGTTAAATACTAATATTTCTATCATTTTTTAATACCAAAATTAATCAATTAACTTAATATTAGCAGTTTCCAATTAGTTTCTTAAATATTGGTTTTTTTTAATTTATAATTAAAAAAATTAAATACTTTTAAAAACACGTATTGTAATTAACAAAAAAAAATTCAATAAAAATGAATTTTGTTTATATAAAATGAATCTATAATCGTGTTCGTATCTGAGCATTATATATATTTATATTTTTTAAACGAATTGCGATTTTAAAATAGGTGTAGATTAATACCTACCTACCTAAAAAAATTTGATTAAAACAGTAAATACTTTTGTATAATACAGTTAAACAAATAACTAATTAAAAACAAAAAACAATTTATTATATTTTTGTAAGGAAGTTAAATCATGAACGTTTAATTAGAATTTTGAATTAGATTTGATTAATGCAAAACACATTGATTATAATAAAATTGTAATTAGCATGACATTAAAACACACATACAACCAACTGAAGGAAGATTGGGAATGTGAAATAAAAAATTAGGTTGAAATAACAGAAATTAAAAGTTTAGTATTTTATTAATATGTTAAAACGCAATTTACGAGATCCAAACATACAAAATACAAGTACTAACATTATATATAATATATAGTAATTTAATATAAAGTGAGAAAGAGAAAGAGTATGGAACTCAGAAAATAGCAGAAATTTAAAATTTTGGTTCGAAAGAATTTGAGAGAAATACAAAAAATGGATTAAAGACTTTAGTAATAGCAAGAAATTTCAAATAATGAATGGATTATGACTTCATAATGCCACTTTATTAATACATAAAATTTATATCTTTAAATAACTATGATTTACAATCTAATACATTTTAAATGTCTAAACATACGTAAAAATATAGACTGACTAAAATTGTTCTTTCTATTTTATTTATTGAAAAGTAACAATTTATAGTTTATGGAAAACGGAAGATATTTTACCTGTGTAACGGGGTTCTCGCCTGGGCGATAAACTACGTTGTGTAGGGGTCGTTTTCGACCCACGTAATTGACGCAGACAAACTCCAGTAGGGAAGCGTATATGAAGCACATGCAGACGCCATCCCAAACGTTCATTGCTGTCAGATTCGAGACGACAGGCAGGGTGCTGCGGAAACCATTTGATGTTGTGAAAAAATTCAGCATTGTTGTTACGCCTGATTAGATAAAATTAATTATTATTAATATTTTCTCATTTATTTCATTTTAATTATTTCAATTTATTTTATTCCAGTTTTACTTTCGGTTGGTGACAGTCTCAGTGAAAGTAATTTTATGTCGTTTTTGTATTTTTTGTGATTTTTGGGTATGTGGAAATGTTATTTCTTAATTTTTATATAAAAAAATTAGCTGCAAAAAAGATTTAAGTAGCTTCAAAGCAATCTAAATTTATGTTAATATATTGTGCTAATCAATCGCTTATTGCCGAGGGAATTGGTTATAGGATAATAAGATAAGTGCATTCTTAAATAAATTCTCGTTTATATTTTGTATGTACTTTGATAAAAAAAGTGTGTCTTGACATAAACTACTTTAACATAAACTAAGATAAAATGTTTAAAATAAATATGAAGTTTTTTTTTTGATTATTTCAAAATGTAATAAATCATTAAGATATTTTCTTTTTACAACTGTCCTAAAAAAATTAACGTAAAACTCTAAAAAAAACTTGAAACGATAGTAGTTTCACTATTTGAAGCTACCATAATTTGTACAAGTACTATCTACATTTGGAAGGATAGGTATCCTTCGGGTTTGCACTTTCCCTAGCACTATAATACTTTGAGTGTTTTTGTCCAATTTTAGAATTTTACTTTGTCGCATTTGATGTTTGAATAAGTCACGAAGATGCAACTGACATAAAAGCTATAACGTTTTGACTTATGAGTAGTATGTAAACAAATAAGTATATATTTATGTAGACTTGGTAGTATTTTGTATGAAACCAGGCATGATGGTTACAAAAGTATATGCTCTCGAGCAAAATGTGAAGAATTGTGGTAAGAAGTGCCGGTACCGTAGTGTCGGTACCAAATAACGTTTCGGTGGAGTCCGTTTGCATTGCTCTGACGACAATTGCTTGTTATTGATGTCTTTCATTTTCCTTTGCCGTATAAAATTGCATTAAGTTGTGAATGGAAAGTTTTCATGCGATATATTGACTTAAAGGATAATAATTAAGTTATTATGTTGCGATGTGTGAAATTGCACATCAACTTTATGATTCTGTGTTTTCTACGGATTTTTTGCAAAATTTTAATATATGTTTGAATATTGATTCGGATAAAAGTTTTCTTATTGAATACTGTAGTTTAATTATATTTGTAATTTAATGTAAAGAAAAATTATTTTCATCGTAAATTGCATGTTTTGTAGTACTCTATACTTCTAAATACTCAATAGAATGTATATTATTCACCTGGGATGAAATTATAAATGACACTATTAATGCTTGATCTGCGCTTAAGGAATAAAATATGTAAAGAAAAGTGAATAAATTAAGCAAATTAAATAAAATAGATTTAAATTACATATATATTTTTATGAAAACTCAAGAGAATAATACCATAGTTTAAGATTTTTAAACAACTGTGGAATTAATATATATCGATTTATGTGAGTTATTTTGACAGTGTCTTTTTTTTTGAAGTCCTCTTGTTTTGTTTTTTATTAATGAACAAAGAGAAGTATATAAAAATTCGCAATTAAATAGAATTTTTGTTATGTTTACAGCTCGACACTTGACAAATTTGTATTAAATTTTATTTATATATCAAGACTGAATTGATTTATGGTACATGCACACCAATATATTATATTGAGCTTAGGAGTTTTCTAATTAATTTTTTTATTATTATTTATTGTTGTTATATATGTATTATATTTATTTTTCAATCAAAGTACATACAAATAAGTTGAAAATATTTTATGTGCATTTATAAAAAATATAAATTTAAACCTTATTGACTACAAATATTTAAAATTAATGGATCGAAAATAGAAGTTCATGCAAAATATACAGCAGGTGCATTTTTGCATTGAAGAAAACATAAATTAATTAAATTTGGAGTTTCAAAAATTCTTAAAATACAAATATATACTGAGATTGAATTATTAGTTTCTATAACTATTAGAAGAAATACATAAATATTTTGCTATAATGAAACTAGCAGCATAGTATAAGTTTCCGTATATAAATAATGCATATATATGTGCTAAGTTCCATTCCAAATATTATATTCATTCATTCCAGATATTCTGACCTAGTTGAAATCTCTTAATAACTATAGATTTCCTATTAATATTTATAAACAAAATCATTTACTTACACCTGTGTAATTAAACTATTATTAATTTTTACACTGTAAGGCAGTTAAGTATATTTTGATACTAAAATAATGCATAATGAATATTTCACACATTTTTATTCAGTATAAATATTAAAGATTAAAACTAAAGTTCAAAACCTATTTAACTTAGTCTTTTAGAGGGACCTATAAGGCTATATATTCTGCGCCCACAAACTCTTTATATGTAACGAAGACATTTTAACATATTCCAAATAAAAGATTTTTGGTTTAATTTTTTTTAAAAGTCAATTATGACGAAACAAACTATGTTCTTAATAGAAACAATTTTTCTTAATACAAACCATTGTTTTCATAGAGAGGTAGGTATGTTTTAAGTTGTATGGCCAGCCAAAAACTCAATTAATTAATAAATAATAAAATTTTTGTTGTTGTAATTTACTACTGCTCAAAATACCTCTGTATTAAAAAATATTTAATTCAATACAAAGGCGTATGTCCCTACTTTTCCGATTCTTGGTTACGCCTCTGTTTCAGATTATGAGAATTTGTATATTGTCATGGTAATACGCGTATATCTATAACCGCTGAAAACATTACCTTAATAATTCGGACAACATATATTAAATCACCTACTTGTATGAACTATTCAATTAATTTTTTTCCTACTTTAGCCATTATTGTAGAGGTACATATATTTTTGGGGAATTCGGAATCATATAAACAGACATACTAACTGCTTTACATAAGGGGTATAAAACAAATCCATGGCAATTGTTTTTGGTTTATTACTAAAAAATAAAAATGTTTCTAAATTTCGGTAGTTCAGTCAGTCCGCGACCTGCGGCTAACATTTGTGTGGCCCGCGAAATGTTTTTAATCTACTACAATAACGCAAATTTTCCTGTATTGGCAAAACTACATTATTTTATTTTTATGGTATACCAAATAAATGAATTTAAATTGATAAATTTATAACACTAAATTTAACATTATAACCATATTTTTATTTATATCGAATACAATTATGAACGTATATATTTGTTTTTGCGGCCCTCCAATCTGCGTATGATTTGTATTGTCCCACGATTGCATCTGCTCCTTTGTCTAGACCAGGGCTGTCCAGACCAGATAAGATCGTGATCCAATACAAATTACTGTACAGAAACAAATACATACGTTCACAGCTGTTTTGGAGAAAAATAAAGTTACGGTTATAATGTTAAATTTAGTTTTGTTTGGTACACCATAAAAATAAAATGATGTGATTTTCTCAAAGTACACACAAAAAAATTTACCTGATTGAGGTAGATTAGAAACATGTCGTGGGCCGCAAAAACAATATTCTCGGGCCGCATGTGATCCGTAGGCCCTGCTTTGGATAGCTCTGGTCTAGATTATTAAAAGCATACTACATACCGAAATTCTCCCAAACATACTAAGCTTGAGACACCTTAATTTCTTAACTGGTTCTCAATGTGTACATGAACATTGTGTAAGGACATATTAAAAACTTTAATTAGAAAGGTTTATAATAGATCAAAACTTAGTATGTAATTTCAGCTACATGACTTAATTTTTTTTTTTGTGTCTGTAATGCTGTTCACTCTGCTGCGCAGAGAAACATTACAAAAAATTTTAATCGTTTCTCGGATAAAAAAACATTGTATAACTTTTGAAACGAAATACTCTGTGTAGTATTAATTAGTTTATATAGAGTATGTATTATATAAATAAATAATTATTCTACTTTTTACTAAAATGTTTTCTTACAAAAATTAATTATTTAAAACAAATTTATTATAGTACAAAAGTGTCTACAAAAGTGATGTGTATAGGACACAGATAATTAGTTAACAATATTCTAAAATTTTTATACAGTTCAATATTAAGATATTAATTACTACGTCAGACTCTAGAGTCTAGGCTAAATTCTATACTTGCTTTGCACATATTTACAATTGCCTTTGTATATAGTTTAATTGTTCTCACTATATTAGATTTTCCTTTTCATACATAACTCATAGAATCTACTTTTCAGATATACATTAAAAACAATCTAAATGTAATTATTCATAGCAATCTCTGCTATTATTAGTATAATACTATGTTTACTGTTTACATACCGATCATAACTCTGGCTGGTACAGCGTTCCACTCCAGCCAAAATGTTATAAAAGATGATGTCACCAATATTATGCCAGGTATGAATACAGTGGTGAAATAATATGCACGATCCCTGGTAAAAGTCAACTCAACTTCTAGGCAACTGTAATTACCTTAAAGAACACATATATAGACGCCATTTTGGTAACAATTCAATCATATTAACACAAGTTTTTGATTTATTTGTTAACATTATTATTATAAATATTATTGTTATAAAGTATATACGTATATAATTTTAAGAAAAGATATATACGAGTATAGGTTGACGATATAATTAAATACTACGCGCAGTACATATTGGCCTTGACCTGCAATCTTCAATATGAACCTGTATCGCAAATGAATTCTACTGGATCATTTTTTTATTTATTCTAATCAATTCTTAACCTACCACTAAGAATCCTCCGAAAAATCAACGATCGTTTAACTTTTTATATATAGATACAAAGTAATAAAAATCAAGAAAACTACTAAATGTCCAATGGGGCAAAATGAGAGAGTAAACCATGCAGCGATTTAAAACTAATCAAAAAATTTGCTGTGTAAATGGTGTAGGAACAAGATTAGAAAAATATTTTTGATAAATTTTTAAAAAATATTGCAAGTATCTAAAAATAATCAAGAGTTATTAAATTGTTGCATACAACTTTGCTACCAAAATTTTTAAATCAAAATATAATGAACTTGATTTAATGTCCGAAAATAATAATTCAAATCAAGGCAATTACAAATACAAAAGCTACCAGGCTACAAATGGGTTGTTATTAAGTTCTGGATTTGGCAAATTTTAATAAAAGAATTATTAATTGAAAAGGCAAAAATGATAAATATTCAATATATTTTTTATATATATATATATAGATATATTTAGTGAAATGTTGTGATATTTAATGTGTGAAAAGTTTTTCATTTCCATTTTTGTAAATAATTTTGTGTATCTTATGGTAATTACTTGTTGTCAATTGCTTTAGTTTCTTGGAACTGGTGTTTATATGTTACCTATCATAGATCTAGCTGGAACTGCATTCCATTCTAGCCAGAATGTTATGAAGGATGACGTCACCAATATTATGCCGGGTATAAAAACGGTGGTGAAATAGAATGCTCGATCTCTCGTAAATATCAAATCAACCCTAAGACAGCTGTAGTTCCCTATAGTGGGTATTAAGCATTATTAAGAATAGAATTGATTTTTTTATTAATTGATAGGCTTGATCAAATTAAAAGGAAACAAACAAACAGATGAAGCTGTATGAATTGCCATATTGAAATTCTATAAAGATGGAAGGCAAAGCATGATATTTTTTTCGCTGCACTGAACAAATTATCCACAATTTTATATTCTTTTAATAAAATTGCCTAAATGTATTTTAAAAATTTTTTTTTATATATAACATCAATATTTTTTAATTTTATTTTATAACTAAATTAAATTCATTTTAAAGAAATCAAAATTTTTGTTAATAAGGCCTCAGGTTTTATTTTATATTTATTTATGAGCTTTAGTTTAAGAAAGTAGAAATTGATCAGAACATTCTTTACAAATTTCAATCATATTTAAAAAAAATATTTAATTTTATAAATTAAAAAATTTACAAAATTTATCTCAATGAAAAACTGTCTTAGTTAGATGAGTACCTTTTTTCGCTTTTGTAGCTTTGTTATTAATAAATAAAACTATAAATTCAATTATTTTTTTAAATAGTTGTTTATTTTATTTAATTAACTTAGTTTAATTCGAAAGTACTTTCTACACTATAAAGCATTCTTCATCTGTAAATAAAATGATGTTCACAACTCGAGTGACGAGTTCAGAGACTAAGTAATGCGATAACAACAAAATAAAATCTGTTGTTTCAGTTTACACTGTTACTACTATATCTATAGGTTAACCGGTTACTGTACTTGGTACATTAAACCGTGAATGCTTATATGTGTTATAGTATTTGCTCTAAAATATTATACACTATACACATTATATTTGTTATACATCTAATTAGAAATATAGAGTAAAGAATATTGAGATCAATTGAAAATATAAATACATATTATTATTTTTCTTGAACTATTAATAACGCTTATTATGTTTATCATAATTTTGATTTATTAATTTTTTTTTTGCAAGCTAATTGCGTCGTTATTACCCAATAAAAATTTAAATTAAATGTGATTTATTAATAACATAAAAATTTTTCAGAACTAAAATAGTAAATAAGAATTTAACTTTTCGCCAATGGTAATGCGCTGTAAACAAAAATGCTTATAAAATTTAGAAAATATGTTCAATTTAAATTGAAAATATAAAATCAAATTACTAATTTTTTGCAGAACTCACCTCTCCAACTATTTTGATCACAAGGGGTTGTTTGATTTTTGATCAAATAAGCGTTCAGTGTTGTTAATGACGGACTTTTACGTAGTGTGTCCTCATCGTTTTTCCAAACATACTTTATTTGAGCTTCCTCATAAGAAACTGTCATAAATAGAAAAAACAGTATTCTTTGCATATAATCTTTAAATGGTTAAAATAGCACATGAATATATTTTAATATATTAAAATTGCATTGGTAATATGAACAAAATAATATATCTTGTACTTACTGCTTTCCATTGAAAAAGAGCATTTCGGGTCATCAAAAGGAAAAATATGTAAACTTCCTTGGCAAGATAATATCAAATGTCGTCTGAAAAGTTGATCAATTTCATTACTGATAATAATTATAACTACTTCTATATAGAATTCTTGTTAAAATATCTCGGAAATAAAGTTAAGAAACTTATCTTAAATGCGTGTTTAGGAAGAAAATTTCTCTACAAATGATTTAAATATGGAAAGTAGTTAGTATAAGAATGCATTGGCAAGGGCGATAAATATAACTGGAAATTATCTAAAAGGAATAGCTGAATCTTTTAAGATTCGAAAATCTGTGGAATTTATTTTTGAATTGCTAAAAATTATTTTACAATTAAAACATTGAAATATTTTCAACATAAAAACGATTATGTGTCGAAAGAATGACTTTTCTGTTTCTAATTTTGGATTGTGACGTAAGAAAATTAAAAAATTTGTATTCATATTTACTTCAATATCTTCATTAAAAATGTTAAAGAAGTCATAGTAAATTATTTTGTTATTCGGCGGCTATATGTCCCCATTGTACTAGCAAATATGAATTCTTTGGAGTGAAAATTCAATAGAAAAATTGAAATAAGAAAAAGAGAGTACTCTCAGTGATTATTACTTTAATATAAAAAAATAATAAATAAATAAATGCAGATGTGATGTACCTTGCCCTAGAACCTTACCATAACCTATTTTATATCAGATACTTAATAAAAAATTCTATAAATTTCAATAAATTTCGATGGTCCATACTGATATCTTATAGTTTGTTTAATTTTAAATAATAGTTTGAAAGGTAAAAAATAAATTAATAAATACATTACTACCTTGATTTAACTTCGATATATTTATCAAGCCAAGAAAATGGTAGAATATTTCAAAATAGTTAAATTTTTCTTATCTATCATCAGATAGATATCAGACAACCTGTTAAAAACTAAATTTTTACAAGTCCTTCAATTTTTACTGAATCGTAAAAATGATAGAATATATATAAATAGTGTTAAATGTATTAAATGCATATCATATATAATACTTAAATATATATATCGGAAAAATATTGTAGTAAACATTTTTAAGTTCAAATTCCAAATTCATTCCGTTAGTTCTGATATGAAAATGCACAAATTATGTTGAAATCATTCCGAATGGTCAGGGAAATGTAATACTTTCACTGAATGTAATCCTATAGCTTCAGAATTTTTTTTTAATAACTAAAATGTCGTTCTCGGTATAAAGTTTATAAAGTAAATGTGACAAGCAAGAATATTGCAAATTTATAGCATATTTGCATAATTTTTTAAACTTTTTGCAGTTTTATTGTGGGTAAAATGTGTTTTATGCTCTCTTCACAGCACCAAACATTCCTAGAATTTTTCATTATTATGTGCATTGTTTTGTTATATGTCCTTTTAATGAATTCGCTTCAAAAAATTTGCATTTTTTAGATTTTACTTTACATAATTTTTCTCGTCTTTTTATATTATTTTAATGCAAAAATACACACCTCATTGCGTACCAAATGGTCCCGTTCCGGTAAATTCTTAAAGCGAAATGCATTGGTATAATAGGATCCTTAAAGTCGCCATGCATAATGAAATAAGTGTCCGGCGTCCAGATGCTGTCGTGATGATGTAATGCATTCAAAAAAGGATAGTGAGATTTATTTCCGTATTCCAAACGAGGATCGTTCCACTGTTGATTGAGCAGAAACTCAACTTCGTATTTCTATTTGAAGAAATATAATATATGTGAATATAGATCAAGCGAATTAAACAAAATTTTTTCAAAACATATTTAATTCATTGTAAATTCTATATTAAGAAAAATAGCTTACCAAGCTGCTTTCGTCAGGTGAAGCCAAACTTAGCAGCAGCACATTTACATTCACAGTCAATGTACCTAAAGTACAAAACCATAAAAAATTATTACCTTCAATGCTTTAGAATAATTACATATTTATACGGGTTTATTATTTTATATCTTAAATTTTGTACAATATATTAAAGTTTTACATTTTTGTAAGAAAAACCAAAAAAAACCAAACTATATAAAGTTGACGACAGTGGATTGCCACAAAATAAAATTTGATTTAAGAAATTAAAATTATTACAAAGAATTGTAAGTTTTTGTTTGAAAAGTTTGACATGAAACAAACCGCGGTTGTGTGGTCTCCTGGCATTTTGATTTTTGGCCATATCCGGTGAAGACATTCCACAGCAAAAGTCTTCATCTGCAAGAATTACACCATAAATCATTGAAGTTGATAAACAAAATTAAAAATTTATTTAAAGACTTTTTATTTAGGAACATAAAAAATTGTGAAACGAAAATGTCACGATAAACCTTATTTTATTTAATTATACTTTTTTTTTATTTGACATGGAATATGTTCCTATTTCAGACTTTTGCGCATATGGGTACTGGAAATATTGTTTATTTTGATTTTTGATTTTTGAAAAAATAAAAACAAAAAATAACTCAAATGCAGAACTGTTCTTACTTATTATAGAATTTACATAATAAAAAATTTTCGAATTTATGTGCATAAGTTATTCAAATTTCATTAATGACCTTTAATACTAATTAAATAAACAACACAAGATTGGAGTAAATTAAAACATTTATTCATTTTAAATAAAATTAGTGTGTCTATTTTCATGTATTTGTTTATTGAAAAACTACTCCAATATTTACTGTAATTCGTTACGTATGTTACTTACACCAGTAGATTATATTGATGAATGGCATCACTCCACCACAAATTTAATTCAAGATATTTAAAGACAGAGAAAATCACCAAAAGTGTATACAATACACATTCCGATTTCCATCAAGTATTAGGATACATCTGTATCAATTCATTACGACCTTGAATTAATTAAGCTGCCAGCATTAGCAAGGATGAAATGGACAAACACTTGTATTCAACTTGGTTATAAATAGGTAATAATGTAGCTGGATGGGGTTATATGGTCATTTTTGGGGAGATTTTTCGATATAAATACCATGCAAAACAAGTTCTTGCTAAAAGTTAATAAATTCTGATGTTCAAAGAACACAGACGATCGGAGCAACTTTCTAATACACGTAATCCGTCATATCAAACAAAACTGCAAGTTCAAGTTAAATTTATTATCCATCTGTTCCCAAACTTTAAGTATTCAGATTATTATCGATATCAAACTAATATTGGAATAAATTACTTCGATATCTAATTGATGTGAAGAATTACAAGGCTATTGAGAGAGTTAAGAATGAATGACTAGAATGAAAAACAGCTTAAACTCATGTATTTAAATATCTATTTATTGTTTTAAACAATTAAAATATAATTTAAAATATTTAGCATAAATTAATAAGTGTGATTTGTTATGCGTTAAATAAACGACCTAAGCCCTTTGTCCTAATAACAATTAATTATTAAGAATTAATGGTAGGTAGTACGCCATAGTAACAAATAGGTAAAATTAAATTTTTTTTTATTGAAGTTGTAATTTAGTGTCAGTTATTACGGAAGAGACTATGATATTTAATAGAAACTAGTATATTTGGTAGATAGGTTTCGAAAGGTACTGAACCACAACAACAAAAATTCTTTTTTTTTATATTATTTTGATTAATTGAATTTTTGGCTGACCATACAACTGTTTCGAGTATTGCCAAATACCCATCATCAGTGATCTTGGAATTATTTATTGTATATAATTATTTGTAAATAATTTGTTTGAGACTGGAAGTACCAAGGGTTGAACTAGTACGCTGACAAATTTCAAGCTCAGAGTCAGCGTTCATTAGTCAACTGGCTCAAAGCCGTATGTTCCACTTTGGAGTTTTGTTAATTTGCTGTGAAAGTTCATTAACAAATTCACTTGCTGTGTTATATTAGAACGAAATTATAAGCCAGCTGTACAATAATTGACTTAATTATTTATATTTTTTTTAATTGTTAAATTTCAATACTTTTCTTTTATAAAATTTTTTGTTGAAATTTTTGAATTGAAAATCTGTAGATTTGCGTAGTGGAATTTAATAGTGGGTTGAAAAATATCTAACTTCGAGTTAAGTTTAACAAGCTTTTGTTACTTGAAACAAGTTTTTAGGTAATTTATTTCTGAATTCCAATGGAAATTACTTAATAAAGCTGATGTTATTGAAACCAGTATTAACCTAATATGATTGACGTCTGTCAATCACTGTTTTGTTAATTAAATTATTGCACTTGAATGAAGAAATTCATTCACAATACATATATAAGTCGAATATAAAATATAAAGTTACTGTGCCAAATTATAATTAATTTATATGCCGTGATTTATTTTTGACTTGGGTACTAAACAAAAAAAAAACACAAGAAACAATTTGAGAACTTGAGTAAAATCTAATATGACATAACATCTTTTACAAGTCAAATGAATGTGCAGAGATACATAAGCTTTAACCTCTTCATCAGCGGATGTTACAGCTGTGAAGCACTGGCGTGGAATATTAAGTAAGTACTAAAATCCAAGGGTTGTGCTATGGAATTTTTTATCATCTCTTCACGTCTTACTAAAGAGAAAAAAATACATTTCCTTTTGTTTTGTATGTGACTTGAATGCCGCTTCTCATAAACTAGGTTCACTACGATACAAGGGAGTGGGAGTCAGTTAAATGCGTAAAGACGTGAACTAATGTAATTAGTATCCTTACTGCAATTAAGCTGAGCAGTATAGAAAGTATTTTGAACTTGAAGGAAAAGTAAGTGGGGTTTTAATTAAGTCGTGCAATAAGTATTTGAAAACGTCGCTTAAAGGGTCAAAAAATTTTATAATATTAAATTTAAATTTTTTGCATAGTAAAATTAAGCATTGAGCAGAATACAACAACACAAAATGGATAATTCTTCTATATTATTCAATTTTATGTTTTTACTCTTTTTTAGTCTTGATCTTAAATAATGAATCCTGCAATTAAATTTTATGAAAGCACAAATACTTTAATTTACTGGAACCGTTTTTCATCAAATATATTGTATTTTTCCTAATTGCAGCTTAACAAGACTTTAGTTATAAATAGGTAGAAGTGAAAGTTTTTAAGAAAATTAAACAGATTTAGGAAAACTGTTTGTTAAACTATCCGCATTCATACTCAGCTTGGGTTGAGAACAACAATTTACTAAATTGCTCACAAAGTCCTTTTGATTGCCATGTTTTCGTTATTTTTTCTTTGTGTTCCTCGAACAAAAGCTAGGAATTGCAAATAAATATGAATTGCTTTGAACTTACCATTTACAGGCGGCAGTAGTCTTTTGTCGTAGCGTTTCTTCTCCAAGAGCAAATCTAAAATTTCCTTATCTGAACTAGATTCATCGAATCTGTAAAAAAATAATGCAATGTAAGGCACAAAACTTTTATCCAGAAGATTGAAAAATTCTCAACGAGTAAACAAATAATTCGCAACTTTTTAACGAAATATTGAATTATTTCTTTTAGTTTGCATCCGTAAACTATACAAATAATTTATTGCAAGGCAATTGGTTTTATACATTAGTAATATGCAGCACATTTGTTAGTAAGTGTGATAAGCTCTCCATATTAAGGATATTTATTTTATATTATCATACAGAATGATTATGAGTGACTAATTGATAACTCGAAAAATTAAAAAAATATAGCTAGGAATATGTATAGGAACTATTTGTTGTTTTCTATTAATATAAACGATAAAATAATGCAATCTATATATATAAAAATATGATATGCAATAATATTGAATGACGGAAATTTTATAAATGCATGTTTTATTACTTAAATTTAATATAGTCCTAGTCAAAATTATTTACATAACAAGCAGTTTTGTACATATGCCACGAAAGCAGGTTTCTATTATTGTTGTTGGAAGTAAGTTGCAAAAATAATTATATATATATATATATTTTATGTATATAATACTACTGGGAGAAATTTCAAATTCGTGAACGTTGTGATTTGATACAAAATTTATCAGAAAATTTCAATATTCTATATATGGGTTCTTGAACAACATGGTTTCATAAACAAAAAGCCCTATCACCTAGCGGATACTAGTATACATAGTTTTTAAGTTTGTTATACCACTTACGCCGTTTGGCAAATTAAGGATTTTCCCGTAAACTTTTCCAATTTTAAAACTCCATATCTGGACTTTTATATCTGTCCGGCATATATGTAGCTGAGTAAGAAAAAGTTTACTAAAATCCGTTATTAAATTGAAGCGTCGAAAAATTCTTAGTTACTTTCTAAGGACTTAATTTTTTATATTACGAAATTTTAAAAATGTCAATTGATACATTTTATAATTTATAATAGATTATTTAATAAAGTAAATATATATTTGGATAATTTTTTAATAATAAAAATTGCTTTTGTTATATGTACAATAGAAAATTTTAGAAGGTATTAGGTGAATTAAGTGAAATAATGTTTGTCTCTATTGCCTTGACTATACAGATAAAGCTTAATATTTATAAAGTCATTTCGATATGAGATATTTTTTAATTTGATTAAGTTTGAATATGAGATTTAATCCTACTTTTATCAAACCTTTTTCACTATTTTTTGTGTAGAGCCTTTAGCTAAGAATATTTCAGAAATTTTTTAAGATTCTAAAATGTGGAAACGTTTGAATATTATTTGAGAAAGTTTTTTCAAATTTTCTCCAAATTCAAAACCAATTTTTAAAGATATCTATACCTGTAAAATAGAACTACCTTATGAGCTAGTAACTAGATCTAAATTACTTTCTGGTATCGTTTGTTCTGACAATGAAGCACATTCATGAATAGAAAACTTCAAACTTGCCAGAATATTGTAGTGGACACGGACTTAAGAATCAAGATTGTGCAAAGACACAATCAAATCAAATACAACATACATTCTAGGAAAATATACTGGGACTCAAACTATAATTCTATGAAATAACCTAAATAACTCGTTACCATGTTTCAATGAAAAATCGGTTACAGTGGATCAACTCAGTTATCACAGACACAATTTTTTTATCCTTTTGTAAAAATTAAAAGTGTTTAAATAGTTTTCAGGTCATAAAATTTGTATACAAATTTACAATAGATCTAAATAATTAAATCATATAATTATGTTATTTAAAATACATTTTCCGTCACCAAAGTAGATTAAATATATAGAAATAAATACATCACATCAATATTTCCTACCATTCATATCCTATTATTTTGTAACTTTCTGTCTATTGGGATTTATTCTAAGTGGCCACAACTATGACGGACTAAAATTACGGACTGATTATTTCATCTACAATAAATAGCATCTAAAATGTAAAACTGAAGAAAAATGTCAATTTAAAAATAAAGTTTCAAGGTTTCTAATCCTAAAATTATGGCTTTTGCAAAAAAATGTCCTTTTCGTATTTGAATAAGAAGTATATCTTCGTGAAAGAAGTAGGTCGACTGTAATTTCCTGAAATAATCAAAAATGCTTGGAAATAATTCTGTGATATTTATGCTTGTGTGCGAATTTTTTATGATAGATGCTGGTAGCAAATACATTTGAAGTGATTGTGTTAGTAATAAAAATTTAAAAATTATTATTAAAATATAAAATTTGAAACAATGTGTGAACATTTCGCATGCAAATTTGAAGCCGATTTTACGCATAAATTACTTTGGAATTTCGTTAAATACGAGTGCACTTACTTTGACCAATCGATGCCTTGACTGAAAGAAAATTAAAAAAAGGAAATAGTGTAATATGGACTCATAGAAAACATACTCCAAATAACAGTAAAGAAAGTAAAAGTGCGCTTGACATGATATGTGGACGCGGAACTAATAAAACGAAACGGAACTAAATTGAACTGATGTAGAAGGGGACGTGACGACATGGTTTTAAGTGACCAGACGAAAGTTCTTGTATGTTGTTTTGTGATGTAAATGTGTGTGTTTGAAATGTGTGGATGTGTGAATGTGTTTGTGTGCAGAGTTACTGCAATCCAACTTACATGGGATGCTTATCGATTGGTGTTGTGCCACCGTCTGAATTGGCAGCAGCGGCCGAAGTTGTGGTGGTTAAGTAGCAGAGGACGAGTATGACACTTGAAGCGGCATAAAAACTAATGGAGTTGCGCAGCAAGTTGTAATAAGTATGGCCGATGTAGTTGTAGGCAGCGGTAGAGGCGTTGCAGTTATAGCTGGTCGAAGAGTTGGTTGAGTCAACAACACGTTTCTCTTGTTCTGTTTTCTTTTCCATATCCGTATCCGTATCCGTATCCGTATTCGTATTCGTATCTGCATCCGTTCTTGTTCCCGTATTCGAATTCTGTTGCAGCTGTTGCAAATGATGTTGGTGGTAAATTTGTTGTCGCGTGTTCTCCAGTTCGTAGCAGTTTGTATGGTTTTGAGCTCGGCAGCGACAATGACGATGAGTTTTGAAACGACTAAATGACTCGATGCCATTAATTGGCGCATAATAACTTATGTTCTCTACTAAACTGTTGCTGACATTGCTTAGGCTATTCGCTAGGATGTCCCTTGCATGCACAAAAATTTCTTGTATATTACCGTCGGCACCAGCGCATACCGTCTCCAAGGTGGTGGCCATATTTCGTGCGGCGGCAGTTGCATTTTGGCAATATGTGCGTGCATATTGGTGTTGTTCATGTTGTTTCGTTGTACGTTGCAGGTTCTGAAGTTGGCGGCAACTATTGCTTCTGGTATTGATCTCTGCAATACTGTTGTAACAATAATTGCTTTTATGGCAGGCAAGTGGATAACAAATTGCGCAAGATATTTGCAAATCGTCAATATTATTATTAAATTTGAAACTATGTTCGGTCGTGTGAGTCTGTAACTCTTCCTCTTCCTTTTCCTCTGTCTCGACTGTAAGTGCTGTGGAGTTGTGCTTTTGATGAGTTTTTAGTGGGTCTGCTGCCTGTTCGCGTTCGCGTTTATTTGTGTAATCAATCGTATTTGCTAACTTGTGTTTTACTGGACTCGGTTTACTAAATACTTGATTGTTATCCTTTGTGTTGATATCTTTCAAGCTGCTAGTTTGGCTATTGCTGCAGTTGTCCCTCTGAATACGCCTTACTTTAATGCTTGGCATTTGTTGTTTCTCGTTGGAGCTACATTTACTTTGTTGTTTGGCTGTTTCGAAAAAACAGCCCATGTTACGACATCTGCAATGACATAAATGAGACATATAAAAATTTTTAACTCAATTTATTTATGGGCATGTAGTGGTACAACAGTTTTACGGAAAAACCGTTTTTATTTGCAAAAAAGTTGTAAAATTTCGCACATTTATTTTATGTTTAATCAATTTTGACATAGTTTTCAGTTTTTATTATCTCCACTAAAAGACAGCCCTCCAATTATTGTTATAAACAAGATTTGAAGCACTTAATCTGCAGATATATATACACATATATAAACTGGATTCGTTTGCAAATTGATAGCTATTTCTGCTGTAAAAAAATAAAAATTTTATGTTTCCACAACAAAATAGTAGTAAAGAGGAAAATTAACTTTTACTACTAAGAACTGTTATTAAATTACTCAATATTACTAATTCATTAAAGAACTTAAATATTGAGAAATAAATAAATATGGTCCATTCAGTGCTTCGTACACGGCCGTCCCTCAAAACGATGTAAAACTTTAATTAGACAAAAATTTCCAAATTAAACTTAATTTAACTTAATTTAAACTTAACAACAAAGTTTTTCGGGTAATTTTTTCTGTATTCATTTTTGAAATGAAAACAAAAATTTGTAAAATATTTTAAAAAATTGTAAAAAATTACTGCTGCAACATTTAATTATTATGAGTTCGAGCTGGAAGGCTGGGGCGAATGGACTTTGCAGTTGTGGTCTTTCAGGATAGGAAAAAGCGATTTCAAAATATAAAAGTGCTTACATTGTAGCGAAGCGTACACTTCAGTTTAATGAAACATGAAATATGACAGCGAAAGGGGCTAAAGGAGTGAAATGCTAACTTTGGCCTTGGCAACAGAGTCAAGCGAAAATACTGGCCGAACACGGAATTAAAATAAAAGTTGTAAGGAATTAACTTTATGCTCCCCTTCAACTTTGCACGCCATTTTTCCTTTCTCCTTTATGTTTTCAAAGAAGCGAACCCCAACTTCTAGTGTTGTGTTGTGTTCGCTACAAGTCTTGACCATAGCAAACACTAAGATGAAGTATTATTAATAATAAAAGGTGCATATTTTAAAAGTTTCTTTTCAACTGGGTTCAACTGTAAGGAACTAAATTTGATACTGCAAGAAGTTATTGCTGATGATTTTAATAAATAAAACTCATAAAGAAAATAACTCCGGTGAAACGAGAATGTGTATTTTACCAAGTTTGATTTAATAACCTAAAAGTTATATTCTGTAGTGAAGTAAAAATTATCTGCTCATTCCTTATTATTAAAGGATGAATAGTATGTATTTTGATAATGAAGAAGTTTTTAGCAAAGTGAACAAAAGTTTTGTTGTCAATAAAAGATATGCTTAAGCAACGCTTCATTGATCAATTGTTAAAAAAGTTTAGTAAATATTGCAAAAGGACTTATACAAAACATAAATAATATACCACCAATCGATTTCACTCGTACGTTGAGTTTATGTTTTAAAATATAATAAGATTTGAATTATATCTACATATATGTTAAATATAAATATTGCATACATTTGATTATTTTCAAAAAAAAAAAATATAAACTATATATGAAAATATTTTTATCAACATATTTGAGAACTTTAAAAAATTCCGCTTTACTATTGTACATTTAAAAATTTATAATATTAACAGTGGCGAAACGAGGGAAAGACGTTCTTATGTTCTACTGGCGCCACTTGCAGACGACCGTCAAATGGTCGCCAATAGGAACGTATTTGACAGGGTTGGCTATATTCAGTGGATCTACTTAACAAAAATTAATAGTTGTTTATAGAACTTACTAAGAGGATAACCTATTATGGATATAAGGCTTTTTAGTATCGTCCAAATTAATACATCTAGTGTTATTTCGAAAGCGATTATCAATGCTAGTTGTTAAATATGTATGGAATAATAGTATTTCTCCCACCCCATTACTTTTGATGACACTTTGATGCAATGAAACTATTCGATGAGTTAGTGTCATAATTGCTATATAGCTTTTAAGGAATTATGTACTAATTTTGTATAATTAAAATTATAAATATTCAAATGATTAATAGAAAACTACCAATTGTTTGGAAGGCGTTCAACACTAGAATTTCATCAAAATGTTTTTTCATGAGTTTCATCATTGGTTTCATTATACTTGCCCTTAAATTAAAAGTTCCAGGTCAGGGACGTAAAACAATAAAACTCCATTTTTGTTATTTTTTTTGGTTAATTTGTAAAAGTAAAAGAATGGAAACTGAAAGAACTACCTCGCCGTGCCGTTATGGATGGAATTTAATTTTCATGCCCAATTCCTGCGTAATTTAAAGCGAGCAACCCAACGAAAATAAATCTCGACATAAATATTTAAAATTCTTAAAATGCAGTTTCACTCAAAATGCAACAAACATGTTCCTGGAAACTTTTGTCCAATTGCATTCATTAAAAATTGTACATGCACATGAAACCATCAAAATTGTTTAAATGTTTTAAATGATAAAACATGATGATAAATGCATTTCCCAAAAATTACCTTTACATTTTCGCGGTGTAATATCCGTTTTCAATGTTGTAAAATCAAAAATGTTTAAAATAAAAAATCAAATTTTTTTGCAAAATAGTTCGTAGTTTGTTAAGACAAATAATAAAAAAGATTCTCATATTTGTTTTTATTATACAAAAAAATAATTTTATGTATTTATACAATTTTTCAAAAAATTTATTTTAAAATATTATTATGTTGAGGCTAGTTGAGTCAGTGCACCTGAGCACTTTTACTCTCTATTAACTGCGAGGTCTCTTCAAAACCCCTCTTTGCGCCTTGACTAGATTATTGTTTATCACTTCATCAGACTAAGCAATAATTGACCTCAGATTCTGCATACCTCCCGAGGAGCCTGTAACCATTCTGAGATTTGATAACGCGGTGTTGGTAAGTCTGTCAGATTTCGCAAATAATTTCAGGGCTCTATCCTTTATGTATTTCTTGATTGGATCAATCTTGATGTCCCTAAGGATGTCATTCGTCCTAATGTACCATGGAACTTTGAAAAGTCTTCTCAGAGCCTGGCTTTTTGCAATTTCTAGCTGGTGAATAGTAGTGTTTGAAGCTTTCCTAAACGCTACACAACCATATAGAAGTGACGGACGAATTATTTGGTTATATATCAGTTTCCTATTCTTAGCATTCCTAAATAAATAGCGGTAGGAGGTAATGAAGAATTTTGGCACAGCTAATTCTTTTCAGTTGAATATGTTTAAGCTAAGTGAATCGTTTGTTCAACGTGATGCCGAGATATTTAACGCTATCCTCCCAGTTTATCACCATATCATCCACTCTCATTCTCGACGGATTCTGTCTCCACTTACGCGTTATAAACAGAATCTTAGTTTTTTCATTATTGATTTTTATTTTCCATTTCTGAGTCTTATAACATTTTTAGTTGGTAACGGATAATGCGACGATAACCGCATTCTTGAAATTCCAATGAATTCCGACCTCACTAATTGATGCTAAATGTTTGGATATAGGTTCTTTATTGGAAAGAAGAGAGACTCATCCAACACCTCTCTTGCTTTTTGGGGCAGAGCATCCCGATGGAAAACACAAAGTCACATCGAATAGAAATAATGAATATAGGTACTTTGTCTACGTAGCTTTGGGTTTTAATTACTGTTACCACGATACTTTAATTAAACAGGGCAACTTAAATTGGTCAATTCAACTGAAGTTGTGATCCCAAATGCTAGTAGTACCATATTTACACGTCCCATGGGAAGCCGCAAGTGATACTCACTCCATTTTTAATCGTAACAATATCCCAGTAATTCCTATTGGATTTTAGTCAAGTCTTACGATAGATATGATTTACTTTGGAAATGGTCTAACCACTTTTTTAATAATAACTTATTAATATAATAAATTATTAATAAATTAATAGTAAATTAATATAATAAATAACTTACATAATAAATAAGTTATTAATAATTACAAAAAACTAAGGAGATCTTATTAATGTGTTAATTAAAGAAAATGACTGTATAAGTTATTAAGAATAAAACGGCCAACGGATGTAGAATTTATTCCCTTAAGTTAGTGTAAAAAGATATTTTTTATTGTGAAAAAACCGGAAGTTCATTTTTATTTAGAAATTTAACTCACTGCTTCGTTTGAAATATTAGTAGAAAACTGCTATTTCTTTGATGTACAAAGTTTCATATTCCGATGGAAAATAAAATAAAAAGTTTGTCAACAGAAATTAAATGAAAAAGATATGAAAAAGTTGTGCAAACCTAACAAATGAAGGAGCAAATCCACAGACAGTGCACAAATATTGAAACAAGTTATGATAATTGATGTACAAACAAAATAAATAAAGTCCTGTCAGAGCGGCAATTTCGTCCAAATGATGCATTAGGGACACATTTTTCGCATTCACTCTGGACTCACATTGCGTTGCTTCGGCTGTTGTAGGTGTGTTCCATGCCAACATAAAATGTGTTGACAGTTTAAACGACAGTGAATCGAAACTTTTCCAAATAAAAATTCTTTCATAAATTTAAAAATAAAATTTTTTACCATTTTAATGCTTTTTATTGCAATTATGTCTGTATCTCAATAACAGCTTTTCCTCAAAGTGCACTAAATTATGAGCAAACGAGATTGAAAACTCCTTCCCGAACCAGTAATGTTAAATTAATTTCGATTATGTTTTCTTATTTCCACAAAAAAATTTTTAAAATTATGATTAGAAAAAACACCCAAGCTTTAAGCTTGAAAATACGAACAGTTACACAGTTAGATACTTTGCATCTAATTAAATTCTAATTTACATGATGTTGTTCTGTCTGACTGTAATGTCTGACTGTAATGTAAACAACTTGACTGTTTAGCAGAATTTGAACTTCAAAATGTATTTAAAATTGTTTCAAAAAACGATTCATGTTTCTAAATATAATTAGTTTATTATTAATATCTTAAGTAGTTAATTTTACCTTTCCTCAAAAAAATATTGAGATG